TGACTCCATTTCCGCGAGTTTTGATCACAGGATGTATTATCGCCTGAAAGTATCTTGGCTTCCAGCGACCCTACTCGAACATCCTTCCTCCGTCAAGTGACATCTACCAGCTCCCAAATGCAGCTACACGCTGAACCTTTCATTGTTCCCGAACAGCGGAGGTCGAACATAACGATTTACTACCAGAACGTTGGCGGTATGAACGGCCTCGTGGAAGATTATCATCTGGCCGTCATGGATCACTGTTACAACATTTTAGTTTTGACCGAAACATGGCTCAATTATCGAACCATTTCAAACTATGTCTTTGGTGCTGCCTACGAAATATTTCGCTGCGATCGAAACACGAATAATAGTAGGAAAACTACTGGGGGAGGTGTCCTTATCGCAGTTAATTCCAAGCTGAAAGCAGAAGTTATCGAGGACGATTCCTGGAACACGGTTGAACTAGTGTGGGTGGCTATTCAACTTGGTGATCTTCAATCGCTTCTCTGTGCAGTTTACCTCCATCCAGATCGAACCCGTGACTTGGAGCTTATTGACGCACATTGTCGATCCGTCTTGGTCGCTTCAGACCAAGCAGGCCCTTCCGACGAAGTTATTATTCTTGGCGATTTTAACCTACCGGACATTGCATGGACTTCAACCCATAGTGGTTTCTTTTGTCCTGATCACGAGCGTTCATCTTTCCACGTAGGAACCATCCAGCTCCTGGACAGTTATAGTACCGCAATTTTGTCACAAATCAATGGCCTGTTAAATGAAAATAACCGCACCCTGGATCTCTGCTTTGTGAGTGCTCGTGATACAGCTCCTTTCCTCTCCCCGGCACCCGAACCTTTAGTCAAGGAAGTGCATCATCAGCCTGCTTTAGTTTCACCAGCACTCCAAACGCTGTGTCATATGACTTCCGTAGAGCTGACCATCGCAGTATTGTCCATGTGCTGTCTAACCTTAATTGGGAGCATATTCTAGATCCTGCAGACGTCAACATTGCTGCACAAACCTTTTCTCACGTCTTGGCATATGTCATTAAACAGGCACGTTTCCAAAAAGATCATCCATATTGACTCTCGCGTCCCGTGAATGACGAAAGATCTTCGCTCGTTGAAAAGAACTAAGAAGACTGCTCTCAGAAGATTTACTAAATTCCGCACACTGCCGCTGAAATGCTACTGTGTCAGACTCAACCACGAGTATAAGCGGTTAAGTCGTCTAGGTTTTCAACGCTATCAAAGGAGGATTCAACGGCGGCTAAAATTACACCCGAAATCCTTCTGGAACTTCGTAAATGAGCAACGCAGGGAAGTCGGCTCACCCTCTTCCATGATTTTGACGTAGGACTACGTCTTTGATTTCTATATGGGGGTACACTTTGTGAAAACCGAAAATGGAACATGTAACAAATTAAGAAAGATTTTGAACGGTAATAACTCAGCTGCCCCTGGTCCAATTTCAATAATGTTATCACCAATCGATCAGAAATATGACTACGCATCGATAACAATGTTCCGAATGTTGATTTTTAACAAGAAGCTATTGAAAAACTGGCAAATGTCCAGCATTGTCCAAAAGTGTCGAATTAACTAACAAATCCACCAATTACCTACATGCAAATGCTGCTTCCCCAGCACAGTCGTCAGAGAGTAGTAAGTAGACGAAACAAGTTGAAGTGGCATTCGCCTCCGATCCTCGGGTGCGTGCGAATAGGGAGGATGGAATTGCGTTATATTTTGCACACTCATCGCCACAATTCAGAACCAAACGCAAATTCGACAGTGAGCATTCATAAGGGCGTATACGCGATGATCGATTCTCTTCATCGATTTTCTCTTTTCTTAATAACTCGCTAGATTTAACGTTTGTCGGTGCGTTTGTTGTTGCTTTTGAAAGCCAATACAACCTATTACAACTCTACATTGAACAAATTCTACAAAATTGTTTCGCTTAGCTGTAGCAATGCAAAGAGAAAAACGATGGAGAGAATCGATCATCGCGCATACGCCCTTATGCATGCTCACTGTCGAATTCTTCAAGATAACCACCATCCGTCGTCTGTCGATGCTGTCACCTACACTAAACACGCCAAGCGTAAAGGTCGGCGCACAATAGATACGTTTTCAGGTTTTTTGACAGTTAGCCCATGCATTATCTGTCAAAAAACCCGAAAACGTATCTATTGTGAGTCGGCCTTAAGCGGCCATGGATGTCATCTACGTTTTGAAGTGACAGAGACGCTCTCTGTTTGGTTTCGGAGGTTAAATCATCACCAACTTTGCTTGGTTAAAACAACACAAAATGCTCATGTAATCAAACTGGATGCAGGGGTACAAATTATTTTGATCAACCTTGATCAACTTTGAATCGCCACGGCCGGATATTTTCGATGAAAGAAGCAACAATCTAGCATCTAATTCGACGAAGACGGCAGGAAACATTTGTGAAGCCGACTTATTTACGAAAGAGAGTGTCGATGAAGAGAATCGATCAATGTAGATAGGACCTATTGAAAAGTGACGCGAGATTTGTTTTCCGTACTGAGCTCCAATTGACGAGTGCACGGATGGATTTGAGTTCACTCACTCGACAAAAAGTGACACAACAGCGGGGCCCTGTTTACTAAAAATGAACACATATGTGTTCATTTTTAGTAAACAGGGCCCCGCTGTTGTGTCACTTTTTGTCGAGTGAGTGAACTCAAATCCATCCGTGCACTCGTCAATGCTACCGCTCTCACACCTGGACCCTACCAATCGACCCATCAACTCAACCGGGGACCAACGGCTTTACTTCCCGAAGGAAGGCGTGATCAGAGATGTTATGCCTTAGAACATGCTGGTGGCGCCGACTGAGATTGGACCCAGGCCTGCTGGGGTGACCACCGACGCCGATATCTTTCAAGGTGATATCACGGCGAATGAGAACGTCCCAAATTTGAGTTTAGTTATCTCAGAAATAAGAAATAAAGTGCAGGAACTCAGCGATGAGTAAACTTGCCTCATGTTTTCCCAGGATTTTCCAGGGAAAAATTCCCAAATTTGAGAAGTAAAGATTGGATTCACTCAGTCTATTGGTACTACTCCGAGACTGAATAAAATTTTCGTCAATTTCCTCATTTTCTGGCAGATTTTTTAGGGTTTTCCACAAGAAACCATGAGACAAGTTTACTCATCGCTGAGTTCCTGCACTTTTGGCGATTATGAGTGAACTGAACTCAAATTTGGGTCGTTCTCATTCGCCGTGTATGCAAAAGGAAAAGAGGCAGTGTCGCTACTTGATAACAAACTACTCATAATGGGAGAAGTCTTTGTAGCCTTTATACCACTTGGTTGCACATCATTCTGCTTTAACCTGAAAAGATATAAAACAGCCCTGCTGTATGGCATTAGCTCATTTTCGTTTCGGACGGTGTGGTCTGATCTACGAGGTGTGCTGCAGGTGTTCCTGGAAAATGAGGTCTTTGATGCTGTCACGTACACTAAACATGCCAAGCGTAAGTGGCCATGGATGTCCTCTTCAATAAAACGGCCCTTTTCAGGGCCATCAAGCTTACATCAGTAAAGAGTTGGAATATAATTTATCTGTGCTTGTTTGTCCATATTCAGAACCACAAGCCCTCAACGACCAATTCAAAAACGGAAAGAGTTGAGGTAATAGATACATGATCAATTAAAAGAACTAAATGCTCTTCACATTTATTCCGTCCACTAGCGGTCCTACGTCAAGCTTCCGTTCGTGCCCCTAGGCACAGACCCTTTTTGCTAGTGTGTTTGAAGACGAGCATCTCTCCGCTAATCTTATTACTTCCGCGGCCAGTAATGTTCCTTTGGTCAACCAAACGCTTAGCGTTGTCGACACCACTACAGATACGATTTCTAGAGCAGCATCTAAAATTAAGACTTCAGCTAAGGCTGGACCCGATGGTTTTCCGTCGATTATTCCTAAAAAGAACATCACTTATCTTTTAGATCCACAGCTCTATCTATTCAGCGGCATCTTTCCGTCTTGCTGGAAGACTGCGGACGTAAACAACTACCGGGGAATCACGTCGCTGAGTGCTTTATTTAATTTTTTTTTGAATTGGTTGTAGTAGAGTCTCTAAATGCGCATTGCAAGCAATATCTAAGTATAGATCAACACGGATTTATAACTGGGCGTTCCACAACTACGAACACGCTGTACCTAACGTCTTACATCACATACAGTTTGATTGCTCGGACCCAAACGGACGTTATTTACACAGATCTTACGGCAGCCTTCGATAAGCTGAACAACGGAATTGCGATCGCAAAGCATGATAGAGTAGGGATCGGTGGAAATTTTTTGAGATGGTTTCGTTCATACCTCACGGAGCGCCAACTGACAGTAACTTTGGGTACTTGCCGCTTGGCAATTATCCACGGTCCATACAATTTTTTTTTGTATGGACAATTGTCTACGCAAAGGGAGGGTGGGAGGTGTCAAGAATCCAAAAAAATTGTATACGTAGTTAATGAACAGTCCCTGTACTTCCTTTTCCTTACCTCATTAAAATGATGAAAACATTCTCTGGGAAAGTCTCAGGTTGAAATATCTCCTCAATTTATGATTATTTTCAGAGGAATTCGGAGTAGCAACTTATTCCGCGAAGAAAAACCCACAAAATCTGAGAACTTCAAAGAAACAATTCGACTATCCTTCATATATTAAACATGTCGATCTGAATAATCATTACTAACTGCAACATTGATAGAATCCTCTCACAAATTCAAAGTGGCAACCCGCATAAATAACAAAACCATAAGAAGCGCCTAACCACCAATTCTAGATATCATCCCAACTTGATGTGGGATGGTCGTACCATTTATGATATCGTTAGAGTATGGTACCCGTTTATTAGTGAAGGCAACCATAATTTGTGACAGTCATTTGTGAATTCTATCACCCTTTTCCATTATCACGTATCAGCTTTCGGATGTTCCAGCTTAATCAACTCAAAACCTATTACGCTCGAAACATCTGAGATTTATTCTGTTCGTAACAAACGGTCAGCAAAGCGTTTTTCATGTACTTTTGAAATGCCAAAATATGATCGGACAACCGCGCACGTAAGGCGACAAATGCTACTCGGTGTGATTGATAAATAAATTAAAATAATTTCTTCACTATATGTGTCCTAGACAGCCGCTCTGAACCACTTAACAACCTTCCAACCCTTCACTTGATGTTGCATTCCTTAAGCGTACTGCTAATCCTATCACCATTCAGCGTCAGCATCGAGAATTCCTTCCACAGCGCTTCCCCATCGGCGTTGGTCTTCAGTTCCGCTTGGATCTTGTCCCACACCTAAAAAAAAAACCAGAGCATCAACGTTAATCTCCAAGCTGAAAACCGATCCAATTTAATTTACCTTTTTCTTCGGGTTCAGTTGAGCCACTTGGGTCGCTGTGTTGTCGAAACCTTCCACAATGATCCTCTCGCCGATCTTCGCCCCCTCCGGAACGACCAACGGTTCGTACTTGTCCTTGTTGAATGCGCACAGCACCAGTCCCTCGCTTTCCACACCTCGGATTTTCGAAGCTTTCATATTCGTCACCGTTACTACCGAACGGCCCTTCAGTTCCTCCAGGCCGTAGTAAGCCATCAGATTGCTAACGATCGATTTTTTCGTCCCATTGCCAATATCCACCGTCAGGATGCACAACGTGTCTGCGTCGGGATGTTTTGTGGCCTCCAAAATCTGGCCAACCTGAAGCTCAACCTTGTCCGGGGTGTTCTCACCGGTAGTCTGCGCTGCGGCTTTCTTATTTCCTGCCGCGGTCGGATAAGCTCGTTCTGTCAACTCCCGGTGGAAGTCATCGTTGAACACCTTCCGGATCGGTTCCAGCAAGCGATTGACGTAGACCTCAACGGAGGCCTTCAAATCCCCTGGGTGCAGTTCTTGCGATGCAAACAGTGCCTCCAGATCCTCATACTTCTCAAATGTCTGATTGCCGCCGAATTCTTCCTTTCGTTTAATCTCGAATCCCTCGCCGGCCTTGAACATCGGATAGACGACATGCTTCAAAAACTTCAACAATCCATTGTCTTCGATATTTCCCGGTTCGCAGAAGGCCTTCTTGATCTTGGACTTCACCTTTGCAGCACTGTCCAACAGATCGATCTTGGAATCCTCCTCACTGGAAGACATCTTACCACCGGCCAATCCAGGAATCATTGGATTCATCAAATGGATCCGCTTGGAATATCCCAGCTGTGGCATGTACTTCTCAGCAAAGGTGAAAATCTTCCTCTGATCTACACCTCCAAACTGGGCGTCTACCTTCAGATATTCTTCGTCCAGCGCCTGCAATCCCGGGTACAAAATACCCGACAACAGTGGATGATCCACCTGCTTCACCACCTCGGCTCCGGCCTTCTTGGCGTCGTGCTGGGTCACCACCGAAGACAGCCTGTACACATCCAGCGTGTATTCCTTCGAGAGCTGATAATCCGTTCCGCAGACAAACTTCAACTTATCCAACGGCACTCCCAGCGAAGCCAGCATTGCTTTGATAACGGCCTCGTAATACTTGGTTCGTTCCTGCAGCAAGCTCCACGGGGCCTTCATGTTATCCAGGTATGCATGCAGATCGGCAAACAGAATCGTCACTTCGCAGTCCGCTTTCAGGAAGTCCGCAATCTTCGACATAGGCACAAAGTAAGCAATGTGCGGCTTACCGGTCGTGGCCGTTCCCCAGTACACCTTCAGGTCTCTTTCCTTCAGAATCGTACGCATGTTGTCCTGGCCGAGAGTCTCCTGCAGATTCCGGGTTATCAGCTGTTCCTTCTCTTCCCATGTTAGAGCCGTCATTTTCGCACTTTTGTTTTCTTAACTATCACACACTTTTCAACACACAAAAACGACCAATTTAGGATGAAATTTGAGCACTTTTTAAGAATTTACAGCTACGAAAGTGAACGGGACCTGTGCCAGCGAGGATCGGAAAAGGATTACCACCACTTCGTATACGAATATGCACTTTTTCGCTTGCGTTGCGGATGAGTTGTCCGCCGTCGGACAAGGGAGGGGAGAGAGACAACCACGCATTTTGACAGTTCTCGCTCTCAAAAGCACGCGGTATGAAGAAATTCAAGCTGAACATTGCATTAGGTCCTTAGTAACATTGATCGATTCTCTTCGTCGACATTGTCTTTCGTTAATATCTTGAGCACAAAACCGTTTCTCGTTTTTCTTGTCGTATTAGGTGCTAGATAACAGCTTCTTTTACAGATCTGTTCTGAAAATACCTGGAAATGTCTTTATATGGCCATGGAGATACAAAGTCGAAAGTCGACGAAGAGAATCTGTCAATGTTACTTAGGACCTAATGCAATGGTCAGCTTGATATATAAAAAATACCAACGAGGGGGAGGCCAAGGGCGAAAAGGCTTTTTACTAATTCCAGGATAAAACAATAAAATATCAAGACTCGACCTTCTCCGAATTGCATGAAACTTTGCATAATTATGTGTTATGGGCAGTCATTTACATTTTTTTCAAAAATTCGGTCATTTTGGTTGTTGTAATTTTTTTTTCTATAAATTATAGCACGAAAACCTCACTTCTGACCGATATGTCGTCTGAGACAAAGTTGAAGAGAGTCTTTCTGGAAAAATATACACTCAAAGATAAATTAAATCAAAAAAGCTTAAAAAGTATGCAGATTCCCGTTTCACCTTATTATCGTTTCAGTAGAAAACCGGAAAATCCCACACGCGCCAATTGAATTTACTCTCGTTCTGTACGCTAAACATAACGTCGGACATAGTGCGCTGTATTCACACAATGATGCGCTATTCAGCGCACTATGTCCGACGTTATGTTTAACGTACAGAACGAGGGTAAAATAGAATGTCGCGTGTGGGATTTTCCGATGTCCAACTTGAACGACAGTATTGAGTCCGAGCAATAATTACTTCGGCAGTAGTCATGTATGATTAAATTCGTAATAATCTTCCCAGTATTCAATTTTATTCTTTTTGAATATTAATATATAATCAAAAGAGATTAAAATTCAATCAAAAATTATTAAAATAGAATCAACAATGATAAAAATTTATTCAAAAAAGATAATTTTCAATCTAATCAACCATGATTAAACTGGGTTTAATATCAGATGATTATTTTTTTTAAAGAAAGAGAGTATTAATTTTTGTTTAGGGGCCTCATAGCCTAGTCAGTAAAGGCACGGTATTACCAACAATCAATACGAAACTAACGATTTTAAATTGGCTCACCACTTTAGTAGCCTATTGGTCCCAAGCAAACGATTACCGTACCCTATCTAGTTGAAATTCTATTACTACACTATGTTTGTTTTGATTCGCTATGAAAGTTTGACAGATAACATCAGGGGTGTGTGGATTCATGCAGAACATGCAGGGGTGAGTGAAATAGCTTGGGACTGCTTGGGACCGTTGTTCTGGTACTGAGTGAGCCAAAAATAATAATGATTTTCTTCGGGACCCAGTGGTCTTAGAGTTACCTCTATGGTATTACCAACAATCAATACGAAACTAACGATTTTAAATTGGCTCACTACTTGACTAGCGTATTGGTCCCAAGCAAATGATTAACGTACTCCATTCTAGTCGAAATTCTAGTACTACGCAATGTTTGTTTTGATTCGCTATGAAAGTTTGACAGATAAAATGAGGGGTTATTGGTTTGTCCTATGTTTCGAGGGGTCAATTGATTAGCTTGGGACCGAAGAGAGTACCAGAGCTGAGCCAAAAAGTTGAGCACGTTATTTCGGGACCTTCTAGTCTTAGAGTTACCTCTATGGTTGTACCATCCAGCATTTTACGAGCGCTTATGGTCACCACAATCTGACTGAGTTTTTGGTAGGGAACATATGATTTGAAGTTTGGGTTGTGTCGTTTGACGTGTAAACTTTCAAATTTAAACGTTTACACGTCAAACGACACAAGCCAAACTTCAAATCTTATGTTCCCTGCCAGAAACTCAGTCAGATTGTGGCGGCCATAAGCGATCGTAAAATACTGGATAGAGGTAACTCTAAGACTAGAATGTCCCGAAATAACGTGCTCAACTTTTTGGCTCAGCTCTGGTACTCTCTTCGGTCCCAAGCTAATCGATTCACCCCTCGAAACATAGGAAAAACCAATAACCCCTCATTTTATCTGTCAAACTTTCATAGCGAATCAAAACAAACATTGCGTAGTACTAGAATTTCGACTAGAATGGAGTACGTTAATCATTTGCTTGGGACCAATAGGCTAGTCAAGTAGTGAGCCAATTTAAAATCTTTAGTTTCGTATTGATTGTTGGTTTACGCAATGGTAACGTAGGACCACAGACAAACAGACATAACACATTGAATATTTCTCAATGTAAAACATCGTCGCTAAAACATTATCGCCATCTGTTGAGTACACTTTGGTGGGTAGTACGCTGTACAGATGGCGGTAGTGTGTAAACGTCAAACGCAAGGGAATTGACTATGTGCGCCACAGGTGGCGGTACTACCAACTACAATTCTTTTAAATTGACCGTTAAATCACAGACAAACAGACGTAACTCTTCATTGTGTATCTTCGTTCATACATTTAACGGTTGATTTGAATATTATCAGTTCCGCGAACTACTCGCCACAGCGCTGGCATCGGATCACTTTGACGTTTCTATATATTCTATAGAAATTTCATGCAATATTGTTTACGAGTTAGCGAGCAAGCTTGTTTTCCGCGAGAAGCCAGATAGCCCGAATAGAAATTGTAATGTAGGAAACATCAGCAGACATCTTCAATACATTAAATTTTAACGTGTATTGCTGTAATCTTAATGTATTCAGACGTCAGTGTGACGTCCAAGTACATAAAAATACATTAGTCTCAAACGTTACATCAGAATCAAACGTCTTGACGATGTAAAATTTGACATCAGAATACATCCAATGACAACAGAACCTAACGTTACATTAGAATCAAACATCATCACGATGTAATTTGTTGCACGCATAAAACATCAGAATACATCCAATGACAACAGAACCTAACGTTACATTAGAATCAAACTTCATCACGATGTAATTTGTTGCACGCATAAAACATCAGAATACATCCAATGACAACAGAACCTAACGTTACATTAGAATCAAACTTCATCACGATGTAATTTGTTGCACGCATAAAACATCAGAATACATCCATTGACAACAGAACCTAACGTTACATTAGAATCAAACATCATCACGATGTAATTTGTTGCACGCATAAAACATCAGAATACATCCAATGACAACAGAACCAAACGTTACATTAGAATCAAAGTTCATAACGATGTAAATTGTTGTCCCTCGGTCTCTCGCCGCATGCAATGTTTGTTTTTCCTGAGTCAGCACTACACGGCGAATGAGAACGACCCAAATTTGAGGTTAGTTCACTCATAAATCGCAAAAAGTGCAGGAACTCAGTTTTGAATTAATTTCCCTCATGTTCCGAATATGAGAAAAGCAAAGATTGGATTCTCTGGATTCTCGTAAATTTTCCTTATTTTAGGGCAGATTTTTGAGGTTTTCCACAGGAAAACATGCGGCAAATTTACTCATCCTGCACTTTTTTCGATATTGAGTACACTGTACTCAAATTTGCGTTGATCTCATTGGCCGTGTACAGTTTTTTTTTCGCAGTGGGAAAGAAGTTTTGGCTGTGGGCAATGTTTATTTGTATGTAAAACAATGCCCTGGTGACGTTACAGTGCAAGAGTTAATTAGTGTTTTAATTGATTATTATCGTTTCAATTGAAAACCGATTTTACTCTTGTTCTGTACGTTAAACATAACGTCGGCTATAGTGTGCTGTACACGCTAACTTGAAAGTACCTATTAATGGTTGAAAAAGACCCATTTTGAAGAAAAGTGGCTTAACTCATTAAATGAGTAAATTTTTTACCCATTAATGAGTATCTGTTACCCATTAATGAGTAATTGTTAATCATTAATGGGTAACAGATACTCATTAATGGGTAAAATTGTTTAATCATCAATGAGTTAAACCACTTTTCTTCAAAATGGGTCTTTTTTTACTCATTAATGAGTACTTTCAAGTTAGCGTGTATACCGCATCCGTGTATACGAACACACTTACTACCCCTGTTGGGTGGTTTTGCTCCTCCGTTTTTGACAACATTAGAAGGAGAAAAGGAGACAAACTAGTCAAAAGTAGGTAAAAGTGAACTGGCCGTTGGGTACTTTTTTCTTACCGTGTACGAATACAGCACCCCACACGAATAAAGCCCTACAGTAAAAGTATGGACGACTGACACCACAAAACTGAAAAAAGCTGTTCCAATCCAATGAGCTGGATTACCGAGGTGAAGCAATCACTCACACAACCACTGTACGATACACGCAAGTACACGCAAGTAGTGACGTCACTACTTGCGTTTACGTTGATTTTTTGGTTTACTAATACAACCCTATTTCACGATCTGCGCCACCTCTCTCTGTACCTCATTGGTTCCAATCGAGCAAAGCGGTGCATTTTGACGGTTCGATTGGAACAACTTTTGACAGACGTCCATACTTTTACTGTAGGGCTTTACACACGAATTGCCGGCGACAAATTGACGTCATTTGACATTGGGCGACTTAAAGACTGACGTTTTTAAATTGGTGTGTTTTTTTTTGTCGTGCGCTCAGCCATCTTGTCTGGTTTGTTTATAAACAAACTAGACAAGATGGCTGAGTGCACGGAGCGCACCGCAAATTCCTTCACCCGAGCCGCGAAGGAAAGTAGCAACTTTAACAGTAAGTATTCAAATATTTGTTATATTTAGTGTTATTATTTGTAATTTCTCATCCGGATTTCTCATGATGTAATTATTTTCAAAAATTGATCCGGTTGAGATAAGCATCCTTGCTGATGCAACGCATCAACAAGGATGTTTAACTCATCAGGATTCCTCCAGCGGATCAATTTTGAAAAATAATGACAAATTCTAACAAACATCCAAAATTTTGATTAATTTGTATTTTTTTT